CACTGGAATGTTTAGAGTTCTTTGGCACTGCAGCCTTGTGCTCTCACTGCTTGGCTTGTTTGTAGTTACACTTTGTATTCTCCAGGAGGGCACAGAGACTCCCCAGCCATCAGAGCCCCTTCACGTGGGCTCATCCCACCTTTAAAACCCTCTCAGGAGCAGCAATGAGCAGCTCCGGTGCTGCCTTTGATGCTGTCATGAGGAGGAGGATGAAGAGGAGGCAAGTGCAGCATCACCAGGCAGGGGACAGTGACACAGGGCCAGGCTGGGGACCAGGAGCACCCCCAGAGCAATGCAAAGGCCCCTCGGTGCTGCACTGGGGATAAACATCCTGGCAGGTGTCACCTTTCCACACCTCCCTGACTGCAGACACGGGGAGGATTCAGCAGGGACACTGGGAGCTCTGGTTTTTGGCACAGGGACAGTGGCTGTGTGAGGCCACCTGTCTGGAGCTGATCCCACAGCCAGACTGGGAACCAGGTGGTGAAAATACCCCAAAAGCTGCACTCTGACAGAAACAGCCCTGCCCGGGCTCAGGGCAGCATCCAGACATCCCAATTCTGCTGTGCCAGAGACCAGGAGCAAAGATGGGGATGGATCCAAGCATTGTCCCTGTCCTCCCCAACCTCCTCTCCAGCCTCCCTTAGCCTGAATCACATCCTCATCACACCTCTGATTTAACTCTGTCTGTTGCAACAGAGAAAAAACAAACAAAAGGAGAAAAACATCCAAAGCTGGTCATTTTCTTCATGGAGAAAAGAGAGGACTAGCAAGGTCAAAGGAAAATATGAAGAGAAGCCCTAATGCAGAGAGCAACATAATTTTTGTACTTCTTACATAGAACAGGATCTGCATTTGGAAATCTCACTGAAAACCACAAGCTAGTTAAGCTGTAACAATAAACACTACTTTTAATGATAAACTGTTCTCAATCTGCATTTTTTTGATTTTTGCATGTCCAGGTGCAATGAAGGAAGAAGGAAACATCTGCTAGGGAGTGCTGAAACCCCAGCAAATAACATCACCAGAGCCATCACACACACTGTGCTTCATGCAGGGTGCCTGGACATGCTGGGAGGAGAAACCTGAGGCACCAAATATTACCAAGCACCTTCATCTGTTTATTGTGCAGAGGCAATCACTAATCAGCATCTGGGAATGCAAATGCACTCACAGAAATCAATGAATAAAACAGATAGGAGAGAGTAGCTAGGAAAAGAAAAAAAAGCTAAATACAACAACCTTGGGTTTTGAGCACTGACTTTGGTACACAGAAACAACAGGGGAGAAAAAACAACCCACAACAAAGTCAGCCAAGCTCACAGGTCTTCACCTAAGCTCTTCACCTAAGTCTGTCTGAGCCCAGAAAGGCAATTAACGACAAGTACACAGATTATGAACTACAATAATCTTAGCCTAGGAACGGTGACAACGAGCTGGGATTTGGTTCAGTGTGGTCTTAGCAGCTCCTGTGGGCACTGCTGCAACATCCCCCTCTAGTCCCATGCATGGTAAATTATCCAGTACTCAAGTTGTGTAAAGAGAAGTACCTGGATTTCTTTTTCTCATCCAGATGGAAGAAATCTTCCAGAATGCCACTGCTATTTAAGTAGAATGAATGCCATGACACCCTGCAGCCCTCCCAGCCCTTTTCCCATGTACAGTTTTAGCAGAGTGAGGATTTGTCTATATGAGCATAGAGCAGAAGGGTGGAGATAAGTAGAGCAAAAAGGTGCTGGGAGCCCCAGGTGCACCCACAGGTCGTGCAAAGCTTTGCTCCAGCTCAGGATGGAAAGCCCGTGAGCAGCTGAAGGGCACAAACTGAGCTCCTGAAATACCCAGGCTCACGTTCAGCCCAAACTCACCCTGTTGGGTGCCTGTAACCCAAATAAAAGTGCAGAGAATGAGGATGAGGATGGGATGATGCAGGATTCCCTCCCAAGGTGCAGCACACGTGGAGCCAGGGGAACAAAACAGAGTTCACTGACCAAAATGTAATTAATTGAATCCAACACTGGTACTTCAGGTAGATAACCATGATAACATTTATCTTCCTTCTGCTCCTTGGGTACTAAAGCTGTTCTTGGCTTACACAAAAAGATCTGGTAGGGACCCAGTGCCTGCTGTGAGGAGAGCCCAGCAGAGCTGCCCAGCCCTGTGGGCCGTGGGATAATTCAGAGCACAAATTCAAACCACACATTCCACGTTCCACATCTCAAAGTGCAGGGTGGGGGAACCCCACAGACCTTGCAGCTCATGGCAGCACAAGGGGAACTGTTCAAACAGCACCTGCTAGATGAATTTGTTTGATAGAACTTGTCCCACTAGTGAATTGGGGTTTTTAGGAGTCTAACCAAGAAAGGACAATTGCAACTTGTTATAAAACACTGAGCACATCACCACCAGAATGTGGTTACAAGATTCCTGCTCTGTCTTCATACCCACACTCTGTGCTGGGACATCAATTTTCATTCTCCTTGATTTAGGGTTGTAATAGGGTGGGCTTTGTGCTAGTAAAAAACCCATGATCTGTAACAAAACTGAATTTCTACTTTACTGGACAAATATACCAAAAGAAATTGTGGCATCTTGGTGGGTTGCTAAGCAACCAAGAGCTCCAGTGTCACTTGTTTGTGATCAATTCAAGTCATTCATAGGGCTCTGAAGCACCAGCTCAGGAATTCCAGCAAAATCTGTGCCTTGGGAAAGCCAGGGGGACTTCCTGACACACAATAACACTTTCTTTCCTCTAAGATAAACTTTGTAGATGTTCTTTTGATCTGTGTGATATGTTAATTCATTACTCTTAACATGCTGCTAATGGGAAAAGCTATAATTAACTAACTACAGCATTGTAGTGCGTGCAAGATAAACTGAACTAATTAGTAGTATTTAAAGTAGTCCCTGTCCTCTCCCACTGGGGAAAGGAGCAGATCCTTTCTTATCACAGAAGCAACTGTCCCTAACATCGTTTTATGGAAAGAACAGATTCCTTTTTGTTCCATTTTTTTCTCCCAAACAGAAGTGATAAAGTAAATTTTTACTGGCAAACAAGGTGGCTCCAGTCCAAGCCACTCGAGGTACACATCCAAGCTGTGAATAATGCAATCTTTCTTTTAAATTAAGGCTTATCTGTTGGCTTTCTTGGGGTAAAGAAGTGGATTGTTATGTTTTCATTCATGAAGTTTAATTACTGAAGTAACTCATACTAAATGCCCACAATAATTACATTGAGTTAAACGTATACTGAAGTACAGTCTCTTTATTTCAGCCTCATATTCAAGATTCATCCCATCCCTATTTTGATAAAAATCAATAATAAACAGGAAGAGTTTAGAAACAAATTGGTTTCCAAGCTGTGTGCTGCATGTGGCAAAATTTCAACTTCTTGATTGCTGGCAGGTG